TCTCGCGCCCTAGCATGAGTTGCAAACACTACAGGGGAATGTTTCAATCCAAACAAAAACGCCTGGCTTTGTTTACATTTATTTTACATTTCATTAAAAAATTCCTATTAATTTATGTTTTATAAATGCTTTTTCTAAAATAATAAAACCTAAATGTTGGGCCTAAACTATCTGATCGTTTCCCTTTAACATTGCTGTTTGGTACCCCGAGCTGGGTGAACATACCATTATCTGTGCAGCTCAGCAGCACGGTTGCTGCTGACCTCAGTTAATGTGGGGTCCCCCTCCCCAGGGCTCTGATAACAGAAACATGTCAAAGTCTAGCTCAGACAGAATTCTTTCTAGGGCATCCCATTGCACAGAGGGAGCACATCCAGTACTGCATCGCTTCAGGAGTGCTGCATGCTACCTCTTGCACGCTGGTCTGGCTCTGCAGGCTGGCTTGAAGTGGGCGAAGGGTAGGCCATGCCTGGGGACACACAGACTGAACAGTCCCTACTCTCCCCTGAACACAGGGATTGTAATTGTGACTGGCCTTTATACCTTGCAGAGGGGAAAGACTCCTAGTGCCCTACCCCTGACCTGCATAAAGGCCAGTCACAATCTGGCCCAGTGACAGAATCCTGTTTTGGAATAGCACTTGTTGAACCCACTGATGGGAATGCACTGCTAGTGTAAGTGGGCACAACCCAATTGAAATCCGCAGAGCCGAGCCTCTATATCAGGGTACGCCTACACAGCAACAAAAAAAAACAAACAAACAAACAAAAAAAAGAGCAACCTGTGGCAGTGAATCTCAGAGCTGGTTCAGCTGGCTTAAGCTCATGGGGCTTGTGCTATGGGTCTAAAAATAGAAGTACAGATGCTTGGGCTGGAGCCTGGGCTCTGAGATGTGTGTTTCTGAGCCTGGGTGCCAGTCGGAGCCCAGACATCCACACTGCTATTTTTAGACCCGTGTTGCGAGTCCAAGTCGGTTGAAACAGGACCAGAGACTCACTACCACGAGTCTTCTTTTGCAGTGTAGATACAGTAACTCCTCACTTAAAGTCGTCCCGCTTAACGTTGTTTCGTTGTTACGTTGCTGATCAATTAGGGAGCATACTCATTTAAAGTTGTGCAATGCTCCACACTTACGTTGTTTGGCTGCCTGCTTTCTCCACAGCTGGCAGCCTCCCTACGGCCCCCTCCCCCCCCAGCGCCTCCCGCCCGCCAGCAGACTCTGCGGATCAGTGCCTTCCCCCTCCTCCCCCCACCTCCTGCCCGCGGCAATCAGCTGGCTTGCAGCGTTTTGGAGGCAAGAAGGAAGGGGGAGGAGCGAGGACTCGGTGCGCAGGCTCCCCCTGCCTCCCGAACGTGGCAAGCCAGCTGATTGCCCCGGGCAGAAGGGAGGGGGGAGGAGTGAGGACTCTGCGCGCCTCCACCCTCCCTCCCCTACGCGGCAATCAGCTGGCTTGCGGCGTTTAGAAGGGAGGGGGGAGGAGCCAGGACGCAGCGAGCGAAGTAAAGGGGGAGGAGGTGGGGGGGAGAAGAGGCAGGTCAAGCGTGGGGGCTTGGGGGAAGGAGTGGAGTGGGCGTGCTGGAGGTTGAACCCCTCGCCTCTGGTGCTTGCAGAGTAGGGGAAGCTGCCCTGGAACCTAACCCCCCCATTTACATTAATGCTTATGGGGAAATTGGATTCGCTTAACATCGTTTCACTTAAAGTCGCATTTTTCAGGAACATAACTACAACGTTAAGTGAGGAGTTACTGTATACCTTTAGTGCCCAGTGAATTAGGCCCAGTGACTAATTTGCTGTTCACTTTGATACCATCTGGCTTAATTCAAATTCGGTCTAAACCTCTTTCTCCACTCAAAAAATAGCAAACCAAATACTGTTTTGATTTTGGACCATACAGTTACTCAGGGCTTGTCTACAGTAACAGCAGTGCAGCTGAACCGGTGCAGCTGTGCCGCTGTAGCATGTAGTGAAGATGCTACCTATGGCAACTGGAGAGCTTCTCCAATCGACTTAGCTACCGCCTCTCGGGGAGGTGGAGTACCTATGTTGGCAGGAGAAGTCCTTCCGTTGACATAGCGCTGTGTACACTGGGAGGTTAGGTCAGTATAACTACGTCGCATAGGGGTGTGGATTTTCCACACCCCTGAGCGATGTAGTTATACCAACATAAGTTGGTAGTGTAGACCAAGCCTTAGACTGTAATGTCTTTAGGGCAGAGGGTGCCTCTTTATCATGAGTTTGTACAATGCCCAGCACCGTGGGGATGGGGCCTCTAGACTCTACCACACAATAAATATCGTAAATGGGCACAAAGACCCAGTCTGTACAGACCTGTGGACTTTCCCACCCTCCAGATTTGTATAGCCCCCGTGTCACCAACTACAGCTGTGTTTGGTACGTTGTTAGTTACTATGTTCAGAGGTTACTATAAACCTGCAAGGTTCAATTCTGGGCTGCATCTCCAAGGGGCGCAGCACAGAAGATGCAGCCTTGGGGTGGAGGGATGGGCAAATGTGGCTTGATGCGACATTTGTGCCCTTTGGATTCGGAGTTCCTCCAGGGGACAAAATGGTGCTCAGCAAAAATGAAACCAGCTGATACAATTTCCCCTATCTGATAATAATTTATGCCAACTCATCCTGGGTTGCCTATTGGATGCAGCACAGCCTAGAATCCTCATAGTGCCATGTCCTGTGCACAGCCCTGCCCCAGACACACTCCCTGTGCTAACTCTTGTGAAGGGAGCAGCGTAGGGCCATTTCTGGAGCCCCTATGCTGTACCTCCACCGGATGGATTCTCCCCCAGACCCTGATGGCACATTAATGACCCCTGTACACTGGTAGCGCAGCATATAGGGGCCGGATCTGGGGAGAAAATCTGTCCTTGCAGTCTCTGCAGCTCAGTACTTTGAGGAGAATCACTAGAAACACTCCTGATAAGTTAAATGATAACATTTTATTAACAAAGCTAGGCCACCAGTAGATCTGTACCATACAGCCCATGAGAACTGCTCATGCCTGCATCTTGGATCTTCTCTCTGTGAGAAGCCAGCCAAAGCGGCTCACATTTAGCTAATTAGGAGATGACAATACACAGTCTACCTCCAGCATTCCATCTCCTGTTCATTGACCTGATAAGCTAAGGCCTAGTCTTCAGTAGAAGAGGTTTGTTCGTATAGCTATACTGGCTACATCAGGAAACCCACATAGTGTAGATGCAGCTTACATCAGCAGAAAAGGAGTTTTTGCAGGTATAGCTTTCATTGGTTCTGTGAACGAAACAAGCCATGCTGCCAAGAGCACTTTTCACTGGTATAACTGTCTACACTAAGGCTGTTGCCGCTATAGAAGTGTCATGAAAAATCACCCCTCTGACCAACATTACAATACCAACAAAAGTTTCTAGTGTAGATCTGGCCTAAATGACAGGATATATCTGCAGCACTGTTTGCAAAACCAAGCTAGCCCAGGCTTAACATCTGATGCTTGCTGAAACTTCCATCTCTGTTCCAAGCTCTGCTAATATGCGTGCAGTGTGTTGGCTTGCCTTGCCAACTTCTGTGGCTTTTTTACACACAGCAACATCAGCTGCTGCTTGCCATGAGCTGCACGTGGTGTCATATTTTTGTATTGCTTAATCTCACATTGATACACATACTGTACACTTTGGTCTTTAGTTTAGATCATGCCTTTAACAGACATATTGTTGATGACGCACATTCCGGTCCCTGGTTCTTGAAGAAATATCTCCATTCTCCCTGCTGCCTCTTGTGTCTAGCCTGCGAGTTTGTTAATCTCACCTCTACCCCCATCAGTCTGTTATCTCAATCTCCTTAGCTATTTCTTTGAGTGGTAGCCATGTTAGTCTGTCAGCAAAAGAAAAAAAAAAACGAGGAGTCTTTGTGGCACCTTATAGACTAACAAATTTATTTGAGCATAAGCTTTCATGGGCTAAAACCCACTTCATCAGATGCATCACTTCATCATACTGTATTTTCCACTCCATGCATCTGATGAAGTGGGTTTTAGCCCACGAAAGCTTATGCCCAAATAAATTTGTTAGTCTATAAGGTGCCACAAGGACTCCTTGTTGTTTTAGCTATTTCTGTCATCTTCTCTTTTAGTGAAGGGTCCTGAAGGTTGCAGTGTTTGGGGCAAGGATTTTGCTTTTATCGTAAAGTGTGCTTCTGCTGCCATTAGAAAAGGAGGAAAACGGTTTTCTGCCCCTTCTTTGTTTCTTTATGATCTATAAAGATGGCCTGAGAGGATTTACTCCAGATTTACACTGGTATAACTGAGATCAGAATAGGTTCTCTTGTGTACTCTGATGTAAATTTACATTGATTTGCTCTTTTGCCAAATAGTTTTGATTTCAATAAAATACATTTTTGACTCTCAAAAACTCATTTTTACCATGCTGCCTATATTGAATCTTGTTGCCTTGTATAAAAAAAATCCCAGTTTGTTGTTCCCCTTCCATGTCCTCTGTCTGTCTTCACTCTGACTGTGAGATTGTTGGGGCAGGGATGGTTCCTTCTCATATGTCTGGAAAATGCCTAGCACATGTGGGTGCTACTCAAACAAATATTTTTTTTTTTAAAACCACTCTGGTCTTAGGGCTGTATGAATTAATTGTTTGTGTGTGTGTGTTTTTATTCTGATAGTGATAGTCCATTTGCTGGTGTCTGCACCATGTGTTAGTAGATGCAACAGTTAATTAATGATCTGTTTGTGGATTTACAACTGACTCCTCTCTTTTTCCTTTGTGTGGTGTTTGAACATGCTTCTTTGCATCTTATAACACTCAGTCTTTTATGAGGATGTTCCATCACTTTTAAATAGCTTCCTAGTTTAACACTGTAAACCCCACATGCTTATTCATGTGTTTATCTAATTGTCTTGTTTGTTGAATGAGGGGAGGGGTTTGGTACAGGACTGTACCAGTCTGAAAACTGAATTGTGTAACTAAGGCTTGGTGCCTTTGTATTGTGTTTCTTCTCAGCTCCTGAAGAAAAGGAGGCAATTAAAGGGCAATATGAAAAGCTCATGGATGCCTATGGCTGCTTGGGAGAGCTCCGGCTAAAATGTGGTAAGTAGCTTTTGGGATGAGGACAGTTGTTAGATGCCCAAACAAACATGGTTTAATCCCAGTGACCAGAGTTGCCCAATTTCTGTCAGGTTTGGAAGACATTTGGGCTCTTGCTAAATATAACCATTTTATTGATGCAAATGTATTTTTTATAAACTGTGCATTATGTTAAAAGCACACTGTCAAGTATTATCTTAAGAGTTTTTAGGTTAAGTATCTTGCGTTCCTTTGTTTCATATAGGGTTACCATATTGCAATACTGCAAAAAGAGGACACTCCACGGGGCCCCGGCCCTGCCCCAACTCCACCCCTTCCCTGCCCCTGGCCCCGCCCCAACTCCACCCGCCCCCGCCCCAACGCTGTCCCCTCCCCTGAACGCTCCGCCCCCCCTGCTCCTCCCCCTCCCCTGCTTCCCGCGAATCAAATGTTCGCGGGAAGCCTGAAAGAGGCAGGCAGGCAGGCAGCAGGTAAGCTGGGGCGGCGGGGGGGGGGAGGGGCGCGAGGAGGCGCGGCCCAGTCCGGCGTCCCCCGGCCGAGCGGCTCCCTCCGGCGGCCGGCCCCGGCCAAGAGGCTCTGGCCCTGGCTCGGCTCAGGCCCTGGGGTGCCGGCCCCGGCCGAGCGCGCCGGCGCCGGCCCCGGCCGAGCACCCCCGCCCCGGCCCTAGCGACTCCAGCTCAGCTCGGGCCCCGGGGCCCCGGCTGAGCGGCTCCGGCCCGGCCCCAGCCCTGGCCGAGCAGCGCTGGCCAGCGGCCGAGTACCCCCAGTCCCAGCGGCTCCGGCCCGGCCCCAGCCCTGGCCGAGCAGCTCCGGCTCGGCCGAGCATCCCCAGCCCCAGCGGCTCCGGCTCCGGCCCCAGCGGCTCCAGCCCGGACCCAAGCCCCACGACCCCGGCCAGAGCTCCGGCCGGAGCGCAGCCCGATTCTTGCTAAAGCCGGCCCTGATTGGGGGAGTTGTTAGTTTTGCTGCAGCCACTTCACTCGCACTCGGGGTCCCCCGAGCGTCTTTTGCCCGAGTGCGAGTGGCTGCAGCAAAACTAACAACTCCCCCGATCTGCGGGGGCACAGAGGCGGCGGGCGGCATCCGAGCGCGCAGCCGCCTCCTCCTGGGCTCCGGCTGCTGCTGCGCTGGGGAGAGCGGCGGGAGCCGGGAAAGTTGGAGCCCGGGGAGGAGGCGGTCCCCTTACCATGCCTCCCTATTTTCCTGGACATGTCCAGCTTTTTGGAAATTCCTCCCGGACGGGGATTTGAGGACCAAAAAGCCAGACACGTCCGGGAAAATCCGGACGTATGGTAACCCTAGTTTCATAAGACCCTCTTAGCAGCTTGTTGTTTTTCCTACCACTTTTGTATAATACAAATGTTGATTTTCCCCCTCCCTTCCTTTTGTTTTGAATTGAGCTAGTTTCAATAATGGCTCTTATGATTACTAAGGGCCCAGTTGTGCAAATGCCAATGTACATGAATGACTTTACTCACATGAAAAGCCAAATTGACTTCAATGGGCCTTCTTGCATGCATGAGTGTTTTCTGAATGAGGCCCATAACTTCAGCTAACACACTGCAGAATATCATTATGCATCAGCATTGCTGTTTATTTTCATATGCTTTCAGGATTCTTGAATTAGCAAAGAAGCTGCTGCTAATCTCTACAACAGGAACATAAAATGAATTTTTGTAGTGCTATAGGAACAGAGCCATATCTCATTGATTTGAGGGCGCTCAGTACCTTGCAGAATTGGGCCCACTAAAAATACATTTCAGTTCAGTGCTTAAGGTGGTTTTAAACCAACATTTAAGTAAATTTTAGTGCTTGTAAAATGTGCCTCATTTACAGCTTGAGAGACTGAAATTCTCTATGTATAATGCAGGTAAGAGCTGTACAGACTTCCCCGCGCTGCCCTGGCAATGAGCCTTAACCTTGACTTGGAGGTGTGAGACTACTTCATTTGCATTCCACATCTACTCAATCCTTGGTCTCTTTAATGAACCTGCCAACAGGGATAACAAACATAGTAATGGGGTGAATGCCTGTATACTAGGAACTAATATAAGATTAGACTTAGACTTTGTCCATACTAGCACTTTTGTCGGCAAACCTTTTGTCGGTCAGGGGTGTGAAAAAACACACCCCTGACCGACATAAGTTTCACCAACAAAATCACTGGTGTGGACAGTGCTATGTTGGCAGGAGAGCGTCTCCTGCCGACACAGCTGCCACTGCTCGTTGAGGGTGGAGAGCTCTTTCCCGCAGGTATAAAGTGGCTACAAAGGAGACCTTGCAGTGGCGTTGTGTAGACATAGCCTAGCTCATATAGGACACTGACCAGCTGTTAGGTGGTAATGACTTCCATCTACTACAATTTGGGATGGATTTGAAGCAGTTACTTACAGATGAACACTCTATATCACAGTGTAAACCTACAGATCTATCTCACTGCTTGAAACAAGAAGGGGATATTTTGTTTGGTTTGTTCAGTTTCTTGTGGGGTAGTTGAGCAATTCGGTTAAACTGAATATCAGTTTTGTTCATGCTCTTGAAAATAAAATAGAGAGTGTATGGTCCATTTTTCTTGGCATTCCTGAGAGGAGTTCAATTAAACCTGCTGTTGTGATAGTTAAGGGATGTGGCGAATAAATACAAGCAGTTCAAACCACTGCTATAGCTAGTTCCCTCTTTGCAGAGGGGAACTAAATCAATCACAGGTGGCACCTCAGTCCCTCCTGTTCTCTGCCTGGGACACACAACAGTTCAGTCATCTGACGTCACTGGGCTCAAGAAAGGTCTATCTGGATGAAGTTCTGTGATACACTGCAATACACAGTAGGTCAGACTAGATGATGTAATGATCTCTTCCAGCCTTAGAAATCTGTGAACTCTATGAAATCTATGAAGTCCCTATAACCGTCATATTAAATGTTGTATTAATAATAATTTCATAGGGGATAAACATATGGCAGCTGTGTGTTAATACCTATTTTTTCCTTTCTTCAGACTTTTACTGCTATGTTTCCTCACATTGTTTATTTATTTTTTGAGAAAATCTAGTTATTTCTGGTGACCATGACCTGAGAAATTCCCCCTGTAGATCTCTGCCAGTGCATCTCTATCTTGTCAGAATTTTACCTCTGTACTGTTCCTGTTCAAAGCCACTTCTGAAGAGAGACTGCCAAAAATTCTGTTAATGGCTTGATAATAAGGACTGTCTGCAAGTTATATTAGCATAGATCTCTTCAAAAAAGCCACAGAGGGCTGTACTTAAATAGAACAGACCAAAGGTTCCCAAACATTTCCCAGGGCAGATTACAGAGATTAGAGAGAGAGAATGTCGTTTGCGCGCCTGGTCTCTCATTGGTAGTTGGGGTAGCATTTTTCTCTGGTCCCAAATACGTGACTTCACAATCCCTACAGCAATTGCTTCCATGGAAAAGTGACAACAGGAAGATATTTAATGTATTTTTCACTTCTTTTAATGCATTTTAGCAGCAGGAAACAAGGAGAGCAGCGCAATGCAACTAGCCAGCTCTCTGCAGTGCACCAATGGTTTGCAGACCAAAGTTCAGGAACCTATGGAATAGGCAGTGACAGAGTGGTCTATTTGACCAGTTGGTCACTATGGGAAACCTGCAAGCAAATCAGCACCTTTTGTGAGTGCTAAATTAGCGAAAAATAATTTGAAAATACTCTTCAAAGGCATACACAAAAGAGCGTATTTGCCAAGCTGAGAAACAGTCTTTTGTAGGAAATTCAAAATGTGTCTGGGAGCTCTCCGGGCAATGAATTAACCTGTAAATACCAGTACTTAGGGATCAGTACAAGTCTTAAGTCTCCTTGTCTACAGAACTTTAGTGTACTCCATTTCTACCTGCCAAGGAGAGGAGAATAGAGGCTGCTTTTTACATTGCCTTGCCTTTGCACAAGAATGCTGATGGACTCTGTGAAGCTGCTCACAAAGTTAATGTTTCCCAGAAATGACAGTATTCACTCATGTGCACTTACGTCAATTTGGATGACTCACTAGATTCCCCGTTTTCTTTTTGTTTGGGAGGAGCTGTAATAGCATTAACAGCTGAAGGTTTCTGTGCTGTGCTTCAGCCAAGGTTTTGTTTCTCAAGGCAGGTTTAGCCGTGATGTTTATTTTAAGCAGTATGTGAACGCTGGGTTTATGGTATTGTACAGCACGCTGTTCAGATGCAGTAGTGCCAGTAAAAGATATGTGTACTGTATAAGGTAAATTCTGGACACTATCAACTATGGGGGTTGCTTTATTTGATGAAATAACAGATTTCTCTTCTGAGAAACATTATCTGTGTATGGGTATATATACATATGCTAAAATGTAAGAGATTTTCACAGGCACAAAGGGCAGGTAGGTGCCCAGCTTCCATTTGTGCCTTTAAAAATTGCCTCCTTAAAGTCTAGCATCAGTGCTTAGAGGGACAAATAAATGTTTTGTGGTTAAAACACTGGGTTGGGATTTGAAGTTCTATTTGTGACTGCCACAGACTTCGCTTATTCTCTGAGCCTCAACTCCCAGTCTGTAAAATGGGGATAATAGTACTTCACAGAGAAGGGGTGACAATATGTGTGTTGATGACAGTGAGGCACTTGGCTACCATAGAGCTGGGAGCCATATAAATAGATTATGGGTCTATTACAGGAGTGGATGGGTGAGATTCTGTGGCCTGCAATGTGCAGGAGGTCAGACACTAGATGATCATGATGGTCCCTTCTGGTCTCAAAGTCTGTAAGTCTGTGTGAGGAGGGTTTTTTATTTAAAAATTAAATTTAAATTCCGTATCCATTAAAATGGAGATTAATAGAACTCTCGATACAGATAGTTGCTGTATAAATTGTCAGCGAAGATAGCTTGATGAAGCCCAGTGGACAACTGCAGTTCACAAAAGAAAATGGGATACTTGGGTGCAATAACATAAGGCTAGAAAAAAAATTCTGAAAAATACTGTATTTTATCGAGCAGAGATGCATGTTTTCATTAGGAG